CGATTAAACCTGTTGAAGTGCATTTCTAACAGCGTGCACTTTCTGACAAACAGGTGGTCGGAGCGTGCACTTCTTGACATTATCCCGACAATGCTTTCCCACCTGATGACGGACGCTTGTGTTGTGCCCGAAACGTCGTGATTGATTTTATTTTATACCTACGTGACTTTACCGAGAGAACCAAAGAGTATCGTTCTATATTTGTAATACTTACACGACATTATTGTCAGAACATTTCTGGATTCCTACTTCACTCTTCTGACACAGACTGACATTTACCTGTTTTTGACTCAGAACCCCTGGCGGGGTTGAATTACTGACACACCCTCAACCACGCTCCCTTTTGAAGTTCACAAGACCAACGAATACCATCATAATTCAGTTCACATTCCTAGCATGAGAAAACCGCGTTAAGATGTATTATTGGAATGAATAACACCCTGAATTGTAATGACTCTCCATAGAAGCCATAAACAAATGAAATGAGTCCACAAGACAATCATAAGGAACGAGTACTATTAAGTTACCATTATTGTCAATATCTTATTTTACAACATCTGTAAAAAAATCACATTTGTCAAATAACGTTTGTATAAATTGACAAGCATTATCATAGGTAAATTGTAACTAGTGTCAACAATCATTATTATTATGCACATATGCATGGAGATCACTTTAGTTTCATATTTATTTATTTTTAAAATGTATCCATTGTAAAATATGTTTATTATTAGTGAACAATGATGGAACTACTGTACTGTATAATTTATTGAATGAGGCATGCAAATTTAGCGGAGCTACAATACCATCCTTGTTCCCTACAACGGGCCAGGTTTTCATTTGAACCAGTCACACATCTACAATGTGCGGCTTTCACCTGGATCCAGGAACATTGTGCAATGTGGCAAGACAGAAAACCCTGGAATGGAGTTGGTAAAAAAAAAATCATTTGGCAGCAGGCCATGAGACGTGTATGTACGTACGTTTGTAGGTTGATAACTTATTTCTCACTGTAAGTAGCCAACCGTGCTGATCGATGTACTTTTGACTTTTTTTTTACGTGGAGAAACAAATAATGCAAGGAGGAAAATTTGACTTCTGATTTTTGTTACTGATATTCTCCACAATGACACTAATTATGTTGTGCAACATACAGAAATCTCAAGCAAAAGTGCCTCCCTGCTTAAAGCACATTGGGGTGGCACATTTATTTTAGCAGCCATGTGCCAATCGTGCAAACTAAATTTTCCCTTAAGAGCGGCGATTCAGTCTCTTTATGACCACCGTTTACTTCCTACAAAGTAGTACAATATTCCCTTGATATTCGCGAGGGATACCTTCCGGAGATGCTCGTGAATAGCTAATTTTGCGGATAATGATATTGGCCAATGTCAACAGATGCTTCTAAAGCTTCGAGAAGTTCTCTCTCATCACTTTATCACATCACTTTCTCCCTTATTTTATTTATCACTCTTTCGCATTACATTATCTCTCGTAACTTTATCTCATCAAATTCTTTCTCTCGATAGTCGGGGGGCGCTCCAGATGCAATTCGCGCATAGCCAAAATCGCGGAGAGCAAGTTCGTGAATAACAAGAGAATACTGTACTCATTTTATCTATCCCATCTGATCTATCCCATATGGATGATGAGTTGGTCTCTAATGAGGGATTAAAATGAAAACTTTCCGATTGTGAGTCAAGTGCGATGTCAACCTCGCCACCTGGTTATGCGGTCAAGAAACGTTTCCGTGCCGGAAGAAACGTTTCCGTCCCAGAATAAACGAGTTAAACTGCATCTTCTTTGGTTCTTTCGGTAACGTCACGTAGAATGATAATAAAATAATAAATTGATAAAATAAAATAACACAATAATATTCTCACGACGTTTCGGCCACAACACAAGCGGCCTTCATCAGGTGAAGGGGGCGAGACTGTCTGGTAGGACAGCGCTGGAGTGAAAGAGCCACGTTCAGATACGGCCTTTAAGCTGTGTGAGAGGAACAAAGCGCCTTGACAAAGGAATTAGCATATAATTTAGCATTGAAATGGCTGAATGATTAGCTTGTGACTGGTCACAGAAATAGCTATGTTAAAAGTTAAAGCATACACACCCGCAGAGGCACCTATTGTTAAAGGAATTAGCATAGAATTTAGCATTGAAATAGCTAAGTTAAGGCATACACATCCGCAGAGGCACCCCTTGACAATGGAATTAGCATAGAATTTAGCATTGAGATAGCTGAGTGATTAGCTTGTACCTGCTGCAGAAATAGAGCTTGTACCTGCTGCAGAAATAGCTACGTTAAAGTCAGAGCATACACATTCACCGAGGCCCTTAGTACAAATCAAACAGGAGAATTTAGCATTGAAATAACTAGGCGAATCCAGCATTGAAACACCTGAGTGATTAGCTAGTGACTGGTCACAGAAATGACTACACATCTGAGCTATTCACAGTACTATATAGTGAACCAATAAAAACTAAAATATAAATTACCTTCATGTTATCAATAAACTCTATATTCTCCAATCAGCTAAGCTACCAACAATAAGTCGTTATATATCACAATGCTATATGGCGAAAAAATGGGTGGATTCTTACCCTCAAATTTCAGCACTACGGATAGCTACGGGCCCCGTTCAGACGGACGAGTTCGTCCATGGTCGGAACAGAGGAGGGGGAGAGAGACAGCTGCGAGGCCCTAGTATGCTCCATGTTGTAAAACTATACCATTAACCGTGGTGTGAGAGGTATTAAGAGGCAATGCTGGCGAAAGAGCTGCGGTCTGAAGGTCATCGTAAAAATACAATTAATTAAGAACAGAAATGATTTAAAACATCTTTCCAGTGGTTACTAAGCCTGATTCAGGCTTAGTAGGTTTAAGACAGCGTGTCGAGCCATACGGTGTACCCCGTAGTCGTGCGCAGGCGAATTGAGTGTTCACGTCCATCCGGAGTGCAGCCGTTTCAGTACGGGCAACCCAAAAAAAATGTGTCAATTTGTTTGAGTTTCTCCCCTGTGATTTGGGACTTTGTAGGACGAACGTTGAGATTCATAAGGGGTAACGGGGGTGACCAATAAGGTCCTGAATTGGTCCCGTCAGAAGGTACGGGCACCGATTAAGGGGTTGACAGATATGGGGTTAATAAACACGCGTTGGGAACGACGGTGGTGGTGGTGGTGGCTGTGGTGGTTGTGGTGGCGGCGGCGGCGATGACGACGATGAGAGAAGTCATGCTTGTCAATTTATACAAACGTTATTTGACAAATGTGATTTTTTTACAGATGTTGTAAAATAAGATATTGACAATAATGGTAACTTAATAGTACTCGTTCCTTATGCTTGTCTTGTGGACTCATTTCATTTGTTTATGGCTTCTGTGGAGAGTCATTACAATTCAGGGTGTTATTCAATCCAATAATACATCTTAACGCGGTTTTCTCATGCTAGGAATGTGAACTGAATTATGATGGTATTCGTTGGTCTTGTGAACTTCAAAAGGGAGCGTGGTTGAGGGTGTGTCAGTAATTCAACCCCGCCAGGGGTTCTGAGTCAAAAACAGGTAAATGTCAGTCTGTGTCAGAAGAGTGAAGTAGGAATCCAGAAATGTTCTGACAATAATGTCGTGTAAGTATTACAAATATAGAACGATACTCTTTGGTTCTCTCGGTAAAGTCACGTAGGTATAAAATAAAATCAATCACGACGTTTCGGGCACAACACAAGCGTCCGTCATCAGGTGGGAAAGCATTGTCGGGATAATGTCAAGAAGTGCACGCTCCGACCACCTGTTTGTCAGAAAGTGCACGCTGTGTCAAAAAGTGCACGCAAGCACTACCACTGGAAAGATGTTTTAAATCATTTCTGTTCTTAATTAATTGTATTTTTACGATGGCCTTCAGACCGCAGCTCTTTCGCCAGCATTGCCTCTTAATACCTCTCACACCACGGTTAATGGTATAGTTTTACAACATGGAGCATACTAGGGCCTCGCAGCTGTCTCTCTCCCCCTCCTCTGTTCCGACCATGGACGAACTCGTCCGTCTGAACGGGGCCCGTAGCTATCCGTGGTGCTGAAATTTGAGGGTAAGAATCCACCCATTTTTTCGCCATATAGCATTGTGATATATAACGACTTATTGTTGGTAGCTTAGCTGATTGGAGAATATAGAGTTTATTGATAACATGAAGGTAATTTATATTTTAATTTTTATTGGTTCACTATATAGTACTGTGAATAGCTCAGATGTGTAGTCATTTCTGTGACCAGTCACTAGCTAATCACTCAGGTGTTTCAATGCTGGATTCGCCTAGTTATTTCAATGCTAAATTCTCCTGTTTGATTTGTACTAAGGGCTTCGGTGAATGTGTATGCTCTGACTTTAACGTAGCTATTTCTGCAGCAGGTACAAGCTCTATTTCTGCAGCAGGTACAAGCTAATCACTCAGCTATCTCAATGCTAAATTCTATGCTAATTCCATTGTCAAGGGGTGCCTCTGCGGATGTGTATGCCTTAACTTAGCTATTTCAATGCTAAATTCTATGCTAATTCCTTTAACAATAGGTGCCTCTGCGGGTGTGTATGCTTTAACTTTTAACATAGCTATTTCTGTGACCAGTCACAAGCTAATCATTCAGCCATTTCAATGCTAAATTATATGCTAATTCCTTTGTCAAGGCGCTTTGTTCCTCTCACACAGCTTAAAGGCTGTATCTGAACGTGGCTCTTTCACTCCAGCGCTGTCCTACCAAACAGTCTCGCCCCCTTCACCTGATGAAGGCCGCTTGTGTTGTGGCCGAAACGTCGTGAGAATATTATTGTGTTATTTTATTTTATCAATTTATTATTTTATTATCATTCTACGTGACTTTACCGAAAGAACCAAAGAAGATGAATCATTGCAGTCACGAAAGCTTTAAATCGAGAGTTAAACTGCATTGTTAGACCCCATCACAACACAGTGTACACTGTTGTCACCATTGTGCGGGACCTACCAATAATGTATTGTATGGCCGTTCCCAGGACAGCACGAACGCCATTAAGAGCACGAGGATGACGACGATGGTGAAGAGGAGCACCACGCGGCCGCATTTCCACTGTAGCCTCATGCTCCTTGCAGACCTGCAGACTGCCAGATGTGCAATATGTGAAAACCTCAACACGGGCACCTCCTATACTTTACACCCTACCATGCGGTGTACAGAGTAATCGGGTTATCAGATAATCATTACATGAGTACGCATTGGTAGGTATTACTGCGGGGATTTTCATTCATTGCACTTGGGGGCCATCCATTTAGTACGTACGCATGGGGGAGGTTAACCCAAATGCGTACGCTTGCGTATGGGGGATCTACTGACAATGTGCATACGTATAGGAAACGGGGGGGGGGGGGGGGGGGGGTGGGGGTGAAGCCTCAATAATAATTTGTCTACATTGGCCTTCAAATGAGCCACAGTTCAGTTTCTTCAGCTGTCAGACCACAAGTACTACCGGGAGAAGTGGGACTGTGGGAATGGTGTCACTTGTATGCCCCCCTTACTGCGAGCTATCACGCTGCTGTGCTTCAGCCTGACATTGCGCGTGTTGACGAAATTCCTTTAATACCTCTCCTGTTCGACTGGGTTCAGTCGGCGTTTGACCCTAGCGGACACTCGCCCAACGTTTTTTAAAGGTACGCAACTTAATTAATTAATGCAGCCGGCGGTGGACTATCTGTTTGTTTAAACACCTTAATGATATTAATCCTTGATCGTTTCTGCGTGGATTAAAAATATCGGCCGTTCTATAGGATTCTGGGGGGGGGGGGTGCGTCAAGCGTACCTACACAGGTGGGGGGTAAAAAGTATGCGTACGTACAGGGACGGGGAAAGGGGTCAAGTTTGCTATATCTTTGCGTACGTACTAAATGAATGGTCCCTTGTTGACTAAGAGAAACATCTCTATGGGTCTTCATAACTTTTTCACGGAGCCTAAACAGACTGAAGAGAGTGGGTTTTTGGCAGATGCAACTCCCTCATGAAATCATCGTGGAGGGGGGGGGGGAGTACTTCTACACAATCGACCGATGTGCTTGTCAGGAGAAGCAAACCACGTGGATCATCTCCCTGAGACGCCCTGCAGCACCACAATGCACTCCTCAAGATTCGACAATGCCAACACCCGAAGCAGTGGCCTGTGAAGCCCTGCTAAGTTTAGCTAATGGGGACTTCGACCGCTATGCGGATTGCAATTGAGTAATTTTCGGGTATGTATTTCTTCAAATGTAACGCTTGAAGATAAACGATAGAAAAACAATGGCCGACTCTTGTGCGTGACATCACGTGATCGTTAACGTCCAGCGTCAAGCAGACAAAGCATATCTATATATTTTTTAATGGTAAATACACCCGCAGTATTAATATTATTAGTGGCAACTGGTTTCAAACCGTGAACCCCTGCAACGAGCGTTGAAAACACGATACTGCTCAGCCATGTGACTGCCCTCCAATGGAATGTGCAACGAGTGCTCTTGCAGTATGCAAGTATTGGGCACCTGAGGCACATTTTCTCTTATTCGGCACTAAAAATAACTCCCCCTCCCCCCCTCGGTTTAAACCTTTTTAAAAGAGTAATTTTAGGTATAAACACAAGTAACGATATCAGCAGTGACACGCAACTGACGTAGCCATGTCGTGTATTCATCTAGTTGATTGTATAGAGATTGTATTTGACCTCCGTTGTTCGTTCACCATCAACATGCAAATATTACACGGCATGCACCAATTCATCAACGTATATTATCAGGTGCATAATATTAACGTCAAGTCACGTGTTCCTTCATTATATTATATAGTGCCTGGAAGCACAACTTTAATGCAGAAATGTGGAGGAAAGATTGAGTTGATCACACAAATTTATGAAACTCCCAGATCAACTGGCCTACGAGGTGGCTCAGACATGGCATTGCAGCTCGTGTATAAACCCAAGTCCAACTTTAGTTTTCCCCCTCACGTATGGGTTTGCTCTGGTTACTCCAGTTTCTTCCCTTGTGCCAACACACCAATTATTGGCATTGGTGAAACATCTCTTCTCAAACATATTTTCTGAGTCTTGAAACATGTTTTGAGTCTTAAAAGACGCTCACTGCATCGCGCACTTTCAGATGCGCTTCAGTGGCCGTCTGTAACGCGAATATTAGGAAGCCACTTAAGCGATGAACTTTTAAGTTTACAACGAAAACTACATTCTTGACAACTGGTTCTTATTTTTTTGTTTTTTTTATCCTTCCCCCACATTCTAGATTTGAAGTTTTCGTGACTGCAAGGATTCACTCTTTGGTTTTTTCGGTAAAAAATAAATCACGACGTTTCGGGCACGACACAAGCGTCCTTCTTCAGGTGAGGACAACTTAGCGAAAGCACACCGCTTAAGTGTGTCTCAGAGGTGGCTGTGACGAGGGGTTGTAATTACTTATTTATTTTACCTACGTGACTTTACCGCAAAAACCAAAGAGTATGAATTATATATATAATTACTCGTCACAGCCACCTCTGAGACACACACAAGCGGTGTGCTTTCGCTAAGTTGTCCTCACCTGAAGAAGGACGCTTGTGTTGCGCCCGAAACGTCGTGATTATTTTTTTACGTTTTTTTACCTACGTGACTTTACCGAAAAAACCCAAGAGTATACTTCCCCCACATCTCCGATTAGCATTCTTGACTGTGTACAGTGGGAAGTAAGTTCAACAAACATACATACATGTGGTTGCATTTAAATGACATATACTTCAAATCCAAATTGGAATGTGTGGAGGACTCAGCGAGGCTTTCCTGGATTTAAAAACGGCATGATTGTTATTGTATGAATAATAAACAGCTTCGGATAATGAACATAACTTAATTTAGAAGACCGTAACTCCACTCATATCGCACAATATTCTACAAGTGTGACTTGTAAGAATAATTCCCCAGGTCACCAAACCAGAAAGCCAAACTCCTTTCATCTCATTCGTCCTCCAGGTGTGCACGTATGCTCGAGGGATACCATCAACAGCCATGAATATCACTACCACTTTATACTTCTTGTAATAATTAGCAAATTGTAAGTTCAGCATGATTATGCAAACGTGGATGGTGCTAGCAATACATGTTCTCGGATGGGAAAAGTAAACTGCAATCGAGAGCAAGATGCTTAAAGTATTAAGCCTCAAAGTGAATATTCCGACGGGAGGCATCTGAAAGAGCTTTGTTGAATACCTTAAGTTAAAAACATCTATACCCACCGAAGGGTGTTATGCCTCAAAATAAAATAACTAATTGATTTTTCCATCACAATCCTCCAGTCGCTATGATACCATTGGAACCACATTTAATATATTCGTGTAAACGTGCAGATACTATTCATGAACGCAATTACACATTATACCGTAATGATGTTTGCAAAGGACTCATGTTTAAATATGAAATGTAATTGTACTGAACTTGACTTATTCAGACAATGCTCGTTCACTCGCATGTGTGAATTACATTTTATTTTATTTCGTGCGATTTATTTAAATGTTATTTTATTTCTACATACGTGACTTTAACCGAAAGAACCAATGAGTATAGTCATTCCTGCAGTCACGAAAGCTTAAATTCTAGATACATTTAATACATTTTATATCTAACGTTCTCATACGACTTAAGGTGCATCCCTGCGATCTGTTGCTCTCGCCACTGCTGGCGGAAGAGCCTCCAGGTGGGTGTTTGGACGAACGATTCCACGCTGCCAATGGCATTTGAAGAGGTGAGCGTTCTTTAATTTCTGCGGCGTAACCATTTATATACTGTGCCCCTTGCAATCGCCTGCATTGATATCCCCTACATTATATATAGATCCATCATAATTGCAATAAAGCACTTTATTAAACTGATAACAAATATGAACGTAAATTAACCACAACATTATGCAAAGTACCGAATGTAAAATAAGCAAAGTACCACACACACACATTCACAAAACTTAACGGCAAAAAGCTACGTGACCAAACAAATGGCAGGATATCACTAACAGGTACAACTTGCAAGCGCACTGCTCTTTTTGCGATAACTCAATGTAGTTTTTTTTAAATACACTTTTTACACGTACATATCGCACGCTTACCTTATCAATCTGTATAATGAATGTGGAAGATCACCACTGGGCCAAACACATCCGGTGATTCACGTTACTTCATTCGCCTTACGCCGCGTGGAATCCTTTGCGCATGTCCACGATCCGTTTTGCTGTCCTAGTGCGTGGCCAGAACTATTCCTGCGAGTGGGCGGATCCCATCGCACCTTGCACCGCACGTGGCGAGGTGGAGCGAGAAAGAAACCAGTCTGTCAACTTATAATTATGCTCAAGGGAGGGACTGTATTCAAAGTACGGGGAGGGAGGTGGGCAGACAATGTTGTAATTTTTATCCCAGAATGTGAACCGATTATGTACAAATCAATCGATTTCATGTATCCCATGCGCACGTTGTAACTTCTGTAGAAGTGCTATAGTAGACGATATGGAGAGAGAGAGCCGAACCCAGGAATGTCCTTAACGCTCCTGACGTCACTCACCAGCCCCCCCTTATTAATAATCATGAACAGGTGACGTCCTCCACATGGACCCGCCCCTCATTAATAATCATGAGCGGGTGACGTCACTCCGCATTGAGAACCCCCCCTCAATTAATAATCATAAACAGGTGACGTTCTATTCTTTGGTTCTTTCGGTAAAGTCGCGCAGATAGAAAAACAATTACAATATAAGTAAATAAAATTTAATTGAATATTTATTTTTTCTATCTACGTGACTTTACCCAAAGAACCAGATATTATGAATTCCTGCAGTCACGATAGTTTTAAGTCAAAGGTGACACCCTCCAAACGGACACGCCACCATTAATAATAATTCCCGTTTGACGTCACTCCACATGGGGGGGGGGGCGAGGCGACTCCTCCCCCCTCCTCGGCGTCAACTCACAACCCTCACTACAAAGGCAGAACCCTCACGTCATCACGTCACGTGATCTCCGTGACGCTGTTGTTGAGACATCGAAGTAAAAAGGACGTCGTGATGAACAAGGGATTATAAACTTTAAATGAAATAAGTCTGTGTCACCGCGGCCTTACAAATTGCACACGAATTGATGCAATGAATAAAACGTCGCGCACTGCTGTTCGCTTGCAAGTTTCACTGCAAACACACCCGTCCTTGGACGGGCAAAAGGCTAGTTTTTTTATTTTACAATTTAAGGCCCACTGAGCTATATAGATCTGTTTCAGAAGCAACCTGGCCACAAGTGCTAGCTCAACGAAGTGGCTTTTCACGTGCAAATTGAAAGCAAAAAACCGGAGGACCCGGATAAAAATACATGCGACCACGGGGAGAACATGCAAATGCCAAATATACAGCAGGCGTCGGGGTCGAACCCACGACCTCTTGTATACCAGGCGAGGCAGTTAACATCTCATCACTGTACATGTCAAGTCTCAACGATTCCCCGTGAGACTCATGTTTTCTCACAATGTTGAGGTCTGCTCAAGGCCGTGCAATGGAATGTGTTTATTTACCTGACAGCATACTCATCCCTATTTTCTTTCAGTACTGCACTGGCAAGCTGCTGTCCATGGTTAAGATCTCATGTAAGGGTTGAGCTTCAGCAGCTTTCTATTTACTTACAGCGTGTGAGGGGAAAACAATGCAGGAAACGTAACCATCCAAGATTCTTACTTCATTTACTATGGGGATGTTCACAAAGTGGTGGATAATAGCCTAATGCTGCAATGCCAGGGGTCGGCAACCTTTCAAAGAAGAAGACATTTGTTTTTGTTTTTCTACTTTGACCGAAATAGTTCGAGAGCCACATCACTCGTAGAGCTACTTGGACACAAACGCAGCAGCAGATTAGAAATTCTGACTTAAATAGACAAAATAGGTGATGGAATAAACTTCGTCTATTTAGTTCCCCCCCCTTCGTTATTCTTTAACACTACAGTTTGTACATTTTGGTGTCACCAAGACATTCCATAGTGACTAATTCCCTGCCATATTTTATAAATTACACTGTGTAACAATGTTTTTTGTTCCTGGGTGGTGTTATTTGCTAATTGCTTATGCCTAAAAAGTACAGAAAATGGCTATAATTCCACCACAAACTTTGCTTTTGTGACCAGGACAGTGATAATAATAAGGGTTTCCCCTTTTTTCTGGCAACAAAACTGAAACCTTTTTACAAGGATTCATGTCTGCATTAACCACAATACCTGCAGTCAAAATGCAAATAAAAAACATACTATAATATATGGATTGTCCTCGACCAGAGGAAGCATCACCAACCTTTTTACAGCTTCTTCACCCGTCAGGATGGGCTCTGCTTTTGCGAGGCAATCGGAATCGCCTGTAACCAGAATGAGTGAAGCCTCTTCATGACCAGCTCATCCATAATGGTAACAAGTACCAGTCTCTCTCCTGGCTCACTCGGTGCACCTTAAAGAGGATTACAACAGCATCAAGACCTTGCTGGACGCCTTGAAGTATGATGAGTACGGCTGGGAGCCCATCGGAGACTTCTAAATGGTGGCATTCCTGATGGGTCTCCAAGGCGGTTTTACCAAGTTTCCCTGCTATCTTTGCCTTTGGGACAGCAGGTACACCACGGCGCACTACCACAGGCGGGACTGGCCACAGCGGACCGAGTTCTCTGTGGGGAGGAACAAGGTTGAAAACGATGTTGAGCTGGTTGAGACTCTGGTGAAGAACTACGGCACAATGGGCTGTAGGATGTCCCTCAAAGTCCATATCCTTGATGCTCATCTTGATAAATTCAAGGAGAACATGGGAGCATACTCGGAGGAGCAAGGCGAGCGCTTCCACCAGGATATACTGGACTTTGAACGCCGCTACCATGGACAGTATAACGAGAACATGACGGGAGACTACATTTGGGGACTGATTCGTGAAAGTGATTTACAGAATAATCGGAAATCTCCAAAAACTACTCACTTCTAAATATTTTGTAGTCATTTTTGTATTACTTTAGTATATATAGATGTTAATTTTAATTCATGTTGTTTTTCTGACTTTATGTGAACGAAAATATACAAATTCGCCCATTTTCTCATTGAAAATAGGTAAATTTAAAATTATCACTGTGCTGGTCAGAAAAGCAAAGTTTGTGGGGAATAATAGCCATTTTCTATACTGTTTAGGCATACGAAATTACGAAATAACACTTACTACCCAGGAACAAAAATTATGTTACATAGTGTTATCTTTACCATAAATTATGTTTAACATTCCCTTTTTTTAAAAAAATAAACGGCTGCCCACAAAGGGGCAGCCAAAGAGCCACAAGGGGGGAGTCAAAGAGCCACAAGGGGGAAGTCAAAGAGCCACAAGGGGAAGTCAAAGAGCCACAGGGGGGAAGTCAAAGAGCCACAAGGGGGAAGTCAAAGAGCCACAAGGGGAAGTCAAAGAGCCACAAGGGGGAAGTCAAAGAGCCACGAGGGGGGAGTCAAAGAGCCACAAGGGGGAAGTCAAAGAGCCACAAGGGGGAAGTCAAAGAGCCACAAGGGGGAAGTCAAAGAGCCACAAGGGGGGAGTCAAAGAGCCACAAGGGGGGAGTCAAAGAGCCACAAGGGGAAGTCAAAGAGCCACAAGGGGAAGTCAAAGAGCCACAGGGGGGAAGTCAAAGAGCCACAAGGGGGAAGTCAAAGAGCCACGAGGGGGGAGTCAAAGAGCCACAAGGGGGAAGTCAAAGAGCCACGAGGGGGAAGTCAAAGAGCCACAAGGGGGAAGTCAAAGAGCCACAAGGGGGGAGTCAAAGAGCCACAAGGGGAGAGTCAAAGAGCCACAAGGGGGAAGTCAAAGAGCTACAAGGGGAAGTCAAAGAGCCACAAGGGGAGAGTCAAAGAGCCACAAGGGGGGAAGTCAAAGAGCCACAAGGGGGAAGTCAAAGAGCCACAAGGGGGGAAGTCAAAGAGCCACAAGGGGAAGTCAAAGAGCCACAAGGGGGGAGTCAAAGAGCCACAAGGGGAAGTCAAAGAGCCACAAGAGGGAAGTCAAAGAGCCACAAGGGGAAGTCAAAGAGCCACAAGGGGGGAGTCAAAGAGCCACAAGGGGAGAGTCAAAGAGCCACAAGGGGAAGTCAAAGAGCCACAAGGGGGAAGTCAAAGAGCCACAAGGGGAAGTCAAAGAGCCACAAGGGGGAAGTCAAAGAGCCACAAGGGGGAAGTCAAAGAGCCACAAGGGGAAGTCAAAGAGCCACAAGGGGGAAGTCAAAGAGCCACTAGGGGGAAGTCAAAGAGCCACAAGGGGGAAGTCAAAGAGCCACAAGGGGGGAGTCAAAGAGCCACAAGGGGGGAAGTCAAAGAGCCACATGGGGGAGTCAAAGAGCCACAAGGGGGAGTCAAGGAGCCACAAGGGGGGAGTCAAGGAGCCACAAGGGGGGGAGTCAAAGAGCCACAAGGGGGGAAGTCAAGGAGCCACAAGGGGGAAGTCAAAGAGCCACAAGGGGGAAGTCAAAGAGCCACAAGGGGGGAGTCAAAGAGCCACAAGGGGGGAGTCAAGGAGCCACAAGGGGGGAGTCAAAGAGCCACAAGGGGGAAGTCAAAGAGCCACAAGGGGAAGTCAAAGAGCCACAAGGGGGGAGTCAAGGAGCCACAAGGGGGGAGTCAAAGAGCCACAAGGGGGAAGTCAAAGAGCCACAAGGGGAAGTCAAAGAGCCACAAGGGGAAGTCAAAGAGCCACAAGGGGGGAGTCAAAGAGCCACAAGGGGAAGTCAAAGAGCCACAAGAGGGAAGTCAAAGAGCCACAAGGGGAAGTCAAAGAGCCACAAGGGGGGAGTCAAAGAGCCACAAGGGCAGAGTCAAAGAGCCACAAGGGGAAGTCAAAGAGCCACAAGGGGGAAGTCAAAGAGCCACAAGGGGAAGTCAAAGAGCCACAAGGGGAAGTCAAAGAGCCACAAGGGGGGAGTCAAAGAGCCACAAGGGGAGAGTCAAAGAGCCACAAGGGGGAAGTCAAAGAGCTACAAGGGGAAGTCAAAGAGCCACAAGGAGAGAGTCAAGGAACCACGAGGGGGAAGTCAAAGAGCCACAAGGGGGAAGTCAAAGAGCCACAAGGGGGAAGTCAAAGAGCCACAAGGGGGGAGTCAAAGAGCCACAAGGGGGGAAGTCAAAGAGCCACAAGGGGGAGTCAAAGAGCCACAAGGGGGAGTCAAGGAGCCACAAGGGGGGAGTCAAGGAGCCACAAGGGGGGGAGTCAAAGAGCCACAAGGGGGGAAGTCAAGGAGCCACAAGGGGGAAGTCAAAGAGCCACAAGGGGGAAGTCAAAGAGCCACAAGGGGGGAGTCAAAGAGCCACAAGGGGGGAGTCAAGGAGCCACAAGGGGGGAGTCAAAGAGCCACAAGGGGGAAGTCAAAGAGCCACAAGGGGAAGTCAAAGAGCCACAAGGGGGGAGTCAAGGAGCCACAAGGGGGGAGTCAAAGAGCCACAAGGGGGAAGTCAAAGAGCCACAAGGGGAAGTCAAAGAGCCACAAGGGGAAGTCAAAGAGCCACAAGGGGGGAGTC